AAAACCTCGCTTCACATGTGTTTTTAAGGTAATTCTTTATTATATCCCTTTAACTTACATACGAGACCTGTTGCAGCCTACGCAGAATAAAGAATTGTTGCCGCCTATACCTTAATTTCCACTCCTGTGCACATAGATTTTACAAACACTCAAAAATTCAACAGAAATTTTCAATGTGAACAATTATATTTCGGGTAACATTCACGCAAAATTTGTATTTTTTATGAATTTGATTAAACTACGTCGAGTTAGCAATGAGAAAATGTTCATAGAATTTCTTTATTTGAAAATTTAAATATTAGGCATGTTAAATGTTGACTGGTCATTTTCTATTCCAAATCATGAGAGAAAAATGATTTGGGTAACTCCCACGCATACTTTTATTGTTGATAACTCCCACGCAATATTTTATGTGCAGGTAATATCTATGCAGGTTATAGCCTAGATATTGATTGAACAAAATCATGATTGATGCATTTAGCCTTAAACGTTCAAAGAATTTTGAATAATATTAAAAATACCGCCAAAAGGTTCTGGATAGAATAAAGCCCCTATGGATACAGGTAGCAGAATACATACTCACGTGAATATATTAAATGAAGTTTCGATATAGATGAATTAATCGCAGGAATTAAAATAAAAGTCTCAAATATAAGAAGGAGGTCGATTTCAGTATAAGCACAATTACAGTTGTCATTTTTCATAGTTTGCAGATATGGGCGGTTCCAGTTCGGGTATTGTTTGTGAATAATGTTGGGCAATATTTGTCTTAATGACCACATAAACTGGCTACTCGGCACAGGACTTTGTAAATGTTGTGACAAATCGAAACGTGACAGGTATGGCATTTTATGTTATTCGTTATATTAAGATTTTAAAGACATTCAAGTCATTTTATCACTTAGTCTTTTATGAAACCAACTTTTTTCAAATTAGTGTCTGTATTTAACATTATTATGTTGTGTGTGTTTTTTTTTAATCTAAAGCATAAAAGAAAACAACCTAAAGTATATTAGAATGGGTCTTTTATTTTACAAACTAGGTAATAAAATCTAGAGGACTTATGTTTGAATGTCATCTTAATATCAGCAGTAAAACCCGTAACGTTTCCGATTTGCTGGGCTATAAAATGTTTTACCACAACATTTATAAGGTCCTGTGCCGTGTAGACTGTTCATGTGGTCAATATTTCAGAGCTATCCGCGAATGAAATGTTTCCCACATTTATCACAAACAATATCCGAGATGGAACCTTCCATATCTGCAAAATATGAAAAATGACAACTGTAATTTTACTAATAAAAACAGAAATACAAAACCTCCTTCTAACATTTTAGACTTTTGTATCAAAACGCGACCTAATTGAATGTTTTGGGTTTGGTAGGCCTTACGCGAAGTTATTGATGTCCTTGGCAATTTATGATTTTACAAGCCATGCCTTTTTGAAATTTATTTATCATATTATTGTAACCTATAAGCAGATGAAGTGTTGTTCGCCCCATATAATTTACGCCCCAAGACGATTCGTCAATTTAGCTGTATTAATTTTATATCTTAGTGATAGTAAAATTAAATGTGAATTAGTTTGAAAAATCCATTAAATCCATTGCATTTTCAAAATAAATATTGATTAAACTGTTTGTGGTTAAATAATAAAGTTGAGTGTTAAATTTTAAGTTTAATTGCCTTGAATATATAGGGAATAATAAGTTTATTTTATATTCTAGATCCTGGTCCTGGCTTAAATTTAAAGTATTACAGCTATAGCTTCTATACCATAAATTTAACATGGAAAGGACTGTTCTTGGGAAAATGCTGACGTAACTGATGGGAGCAGTTTTTCTTACCAATCATAGGTCAGACATAACCTTTTCCCCCATGAGCATATTGTGAAAAATGGCCATTTTCACTGAAAAGCCTCCTCTTACAAGTTCAAACTGCTATGAAACTATGAAAAATGCTTCAATACTAATCAAACTTGGCACAAATGTTGACTGGACCATTGCTTTTGTAACGACATGCTCAGTCTTAAATTTCCTGTTACCATGGCAACGAGGGGTAAAGGGCTAACAAAAAATGATGAAAAACTTTTGAATCACCCAAAATCTAGTTTTTACATGTTAACATGTGGTCTTTTACCTAATTTTGGTGAAAAATTGTTGTTTTGTAACATTTATAATTTTTTAAGTTAACCCTTTCACCCATGAGCATATTGTGAAAAATGGCCATTTTCACTGAAAAGCCTCCTCTTTCAAGTTAAATTTCCTGTTACCATGGCAACGAGGGGACATCTCAAAATTGCCAAAAATCACTATTTTGCCTCGATTTTTTCCATCAAAATTTACTTCAAAGTGCTGCAACTTCTCAAGGGATTGAGATAGAGTCAAAGGCTTTTCAGCGTTGGTTACACCTTACCTTATGATCGACCTGGAGTCATTTAAAGCCTCTCACAAGTCAAAAATTTTCTTTGCGATGAGGGGGACACCGCCCCCCTTCAAACCCCCCAAAAAGAAGGGGGCACATCCCCCTTCTGACAACCCCCTGAAGTATCTTTTGGACAGGGGGCGGCGCCGAAAAAGTGCTCACTTTTTTTTAACAACATTTCTCAAACGAAAACATGTGTTTGGGGAAAAATAGGACATTTTCTCACTATTTCAGGCCTAAAAAAGGGGGGGGGGTCGAAAGTGCGTTGTTTCGCGTATATATGAGGTTAAGGGTTAAATAGCTTCTTTTTAAAATGTTTTTGTTGTTTTTGTACATAATTTACTGTCAATATGAAACTTCAGCTGCTGTATCTTAATTTCTATATGCTGTTTTATTATGTAAATCTTAGAAGATAAGCATTTTAAGATAAAACAAATCACTAAGTTGATTAATTATATATAATTTGAGATTGACCAAGTCAATTTTAACATGTAACTTCTTATTTTATTTGCAGAAGCAGTAGAAGTATTCAAACACCATCATGACACACTTTAGACATACCAAGAGAGCTCTAGAAGAAGAACTAGTGGTAGATTGGAACAGATTGTAGCTTAATTGTTAAACTAAAAGGACTTCTTAAATCGTTTGAATTTTAGCTACACTTGAACTGTAGTTTTGAAATAAAATAGCTGAAGTATTTAATAGTGTCTTGATTTTTTGTTAAACTCTGTTACGTACAGTACTTTGCTTTATATTTATATTAAAGTATGTTGAAATGACATTGAAACTTCAACGTTGTGCCAACGTTGAACTTCAACGTTTTTTAAACTTTCAAATTCGAACATAAATCTAACGTTATTTCAACGTTGAAATCTGATCATACTTCAACGTTTACCGTTGATGTGCCTGCTGGGTTACTTCTATCAAGGACCTATTTGCGGTATTTTTAATATTTTTCAAAATTCTATGAAAGTTTGATGCTAAATGCATCAATCATGATTTTTTTTCAATCAATATCTAGGCTATAACCTGCATAGATATTGCCTGCACATAAAATATTGCGTGGGAGTTATCAACAATAAAAGTATGCGTGGGAGTTACCAAAATCATTTTTCTCTCGTGTAATGGAATAGAAAATGACCAGTCAACATTTAACATGCCTAATATTTACATTTTCAAATAAAGAAATTCTATGAACATTTTCTCTTTGCTAACTCGACGTAGTTTAATCAAATTCATAAAAAATACAAATTTTGCGTGAATGTTACCCGAGATATAATTGTTTACATTGAAAATTTCTGTTGAATTTTTGAGTGTTTGTAAAAGCTATGAGCACAGGGGTGGAAAATAAGGTATAGGCGGCAACAATTCTTTATTCTGCGTAGGCTGCAACAGGTCTCGTATGTAAGTAAAAGGGATATAATAAAGAATTACCTGAAAAACACATGTGAAGCGAGGTTTTTAGGCCGCCATATTGTCTGTACGCGTAACCGTAAAAGTCACGTGATTCCCTACCGTGAAAGACACGCTGCTGAGAACACACGACGTCATAAGCCGCCATTTTATCCCGCTCAAAATATAATATTAAATGTGGAATCGAGTTCAAAATTACATGAAAGTATCCAGAGCCAATAAGTCTGAAGCAATGGAATTGTCTTTATTTGCTTAATGTTAATGTACCAACCAAAATTATATTGCTGTCAATACTGCAGTAATCTGTCGTCACTGGCGGCTGTAATACGGTGTGAAGGTGTCGACAATTGGTCACCGCTATAACATATATAATCTTTTACCAATATGACGACACATCGTCCTTTTTATTTGTCTCTTGTGCTTTCTGTAAGCCAATTTAAAAGCTTTTATGATGTACCAGATCAATGCTATATAATAACCTAAAGGTCGCCACGTGTCTAAGGCATTCTAGCCTGTGCTACGATATGCGAGAGAGACTGTCATTTGTTAAAGACGAGTCTGTCAGTGCGTTTTTGCGAAACCCTATCAACGGACGCATTTTCTGTAAGAAACGTTCATTAAAACTATAAAGACATTTAAGAACTGAAATTGTGTTATTTTATACGCATTCGCCGGGTTATCATTACGACATAGTCATGACTAGTCTTCTTTTCATCCACACTGATTATATGAAAAGCCGCTCAAAATTAGATATTAGTTTCGCTGACGACTACAGACTATGCGTGTATTATTATCTATCACGGAATTAAATCTTAAACAACCAGAAAATAGTTATCCAAAGTGGCTCAAAGCTGAACTATGACTGGTCGTATCATGAGTATAATCACTGTAAATGTTCACCTTGTCATATCTGTAATACCGATTACTAGAAATTTGATTTAATTCTGTTCTATAAGGATGCAATATACCAACCAGAGGCTTTTTATGACGTGATTATTTAGGAGCTGGCTTTACGCAGATATCTTAAATAGTCATCCTGATTAATTCCGTAATTGCAAGCGTCTATCAACTTACACAAAGCCTCTCGATCCATCTGTTTTAATTTGCCGGAAGGTAAAAAGGAAGTTTAAAAATACTTTATTAACAAATTTAAGACGTAAATGAAGCAAAACGCGGGAAACTACCGATTTTATTTATATCATTCGTACGTGTAAAATAATTGATTTTTATTAGATATGAACATATGACATTTAAATTCACTTAGTGAACTGAGTTAAATGCGGCTTATATATTAAAAACAACAACAACAACAACAACAACAACAACAAAAACAACAAAAACAACAACAACCTTAAATGGAAAATGAAGGATTTTAAAAGGAATCATGCAGGGTTTCTTTATCGTGATTATTTGGTGGACGTTAAATACAGCAGAGTCGGTGTCAACCTCGATAAGCGAAAGTACGTGCAATAAAGTCAACACAACAGTTACATGTAATTACATACCAGTATCAGTACCAGCGGGAACTGTCAGCGTTCTTCTGCGTCTACAACTAACAAATGATACTTTTTTAAACAGCTCTACTTTCACATCCAGTGGCTGGGATAAGATTTCACAGATAGAATTTCGTGTTGATGGCGATTATCATTTCGTTTTACAAGATAATTGTTTCAATGGTTTAAAAGAGCTTCGCGTCTTAAAACTGCACATAATTTGTTTAGTTCATTTGGATTTAGGATCATTTGAACATTTAGACAACGTTGAAGTCTTGGACATGAGTGACAGTGTGAGATTATTCCCGGTCGAGTTTATACGCGCCCTGGGCGGAAATGACAAATTAGTAAAACTACCAACATTGACAGCACTGTTCTTGTCAAGGTCTTTTTTGTACCGGACAGGATTGATTCTTGACGATAATGTTGTGCACAATTTGCTGTCGAATAAAATATCACTCTTGGATATGAGCAGCTTGCAATTAAGCCAAATGAATCTTACCTCAATTGTCAAGAGATTGAAACAATTGGACATGCTGAATGTATCTCATGCGAATTTAGATAACTTTGAATATTATGGCATAGACCAGAGTGACGTGATTAATATCAAATCTCTTGATGTAAGCTATATTACTTTTCCAAAGAACATAGTACCATATCTTCCTGGGAAAATTAAGGCAATTAATTTAGTTTATAATTTATCTGAACGTGTCGAATTCGAGAGTCTGAGGAACGCTCTGTCTCCTGTAACTTTAAACATTAGTGGAATTATACCCTATCCAATATCCTTGTGGGCTTGGAATTGTAAAGTGCACATCGATATTAGTCCTGCTTTCTTAACAAAAACACTAGTCGCTCGAAAAAATAATATCAGGAGATTAGATGTGTCATTTATATGTGATATGTTTACTTTTTCTTCATTTGAACATATTGATATCTCGGATAACGATTTGGAATTTATTCATCCAGATTTTCTATCGTGTATACCAAACATACGGAGGATTAATCTGTCCAATAATTTATTGTTTAAAATGGCAAGAGAAAACCTATATTTGTTCGAAAACATACTTTCAGGTCTCAAGAACTTACAGCACATTGATTTGTCACATAATCAGTTAACAGATATTCCAATTGACATTTTTAAATATAATGAGTTGGTTGAAGAAATTGATCTTTCTAACAATCATCTGCAGCAAGTACGCTTCGCATTAACAAGACAAAAGAGACTTCGCGTTCTAAATCTACAAGGTAATAAAATAAAAACTTTAGATCCGCTGTCACTCAATAACTTAAAAGATATACACCGCTTGAAAAAATCAACAGAGCATCATGTTTCGATTTACCTTAAAGACAACCCATTGGATTGTTCTAAATGCGAAGCAAAAACATTCTTCACTTGGCTGACAAAATCTCCCAATGTTGATATATCTTCGCAAGGTTTGGTGTGCTCTGGTAAAAACGGTCACATGGAGGATGTAACAGAACATGTTTTAGATAGTATTGAAGAGATATGTAGGAGAAAAACTATTATTATTGCAACAAGCGTATCTGCTGGAACTGTTTGTGTCATATTAACTATTTCTTACATATTGTATTTTCTGCAAAGGGAGCGTGCGCGTGAAATGCTGAAAAAGGAGAATGTAATAAATTTGTTAAGAATGGGTGATGGTCAATACGAATTTGTGGTGTTTCTTGCGTATAGCAGCGAAGATGAAGAGTTTGTTAACGTAAATATCCTGCACCAGTTGAACGAGAGTCTCAAGTTAATGACGGACATCGACAGAAATTTAGTTTGTACCGGCGACCTTAATCTTCGACCTGGTTTCTATTTGCATAATGAAACGTACTCGCTGCTTAATAAAGCATCTGTTATCATTGCGGCAGTTTCAAATAATTTCTGTAATAGTGTTAATTGTCAAAACGAACTAGATCAAGCGCACGTTAATGGGAAGCCAATCATTTTGATGTTCATTGAACATGTAGAGCAAGAACTGATGTCACGTACAATGAAAGAGTTATACCAAAGGAATGTAAGAATTGTGTGGACACATGAAAATGGCGAATGCAGAATGAAAACTACGTGGGACAATGTTTGCACGTCCATTTTAGAACTCATTGAATGACCCTCAATATATATGTAAATAAACATCTGTTATTTAAACACAAAACGTCAAAATATGGATGAGTACGGACTGCAGAGTTATTTTTCAACCATGAACAGGCCTATGCTTTGGAAGCCTCCTTTTTTCTGAGACATTTTGGCAAAAGCGAGTGGGCAATATGACAATACGATTTTTTATTCTAACAAAAAAAATGGACTAATATTACATCTTTAAAGAATATTTGTCTTTAGAACGTTAGATAAAAATGAAATGTTTACTTGTTAAGATTAGTGTAATACTTTACATTATGATTAAGAAAGCTCAGTTTAAAGGGTGGTGAGTTTATATACCTCCGGTTGTTTCCGTATTCTCCGTAAAACTCGTGTGATACATGTTTGATGTTCCTCAGTTGTTAAACGACAGAAGCATGCTTAAGTGTCTCTAATCAGACAAGTTTTACAGAACATAGGCATAAATGGAACCTTTAGACGTATTTTTCACATCAACGCTGTTGACGTTGTCACAACTTACATACTGCGACATATGCTCAAACTATGCTTCCTTTGTTATGCATGTGCTAGTCATATTGTGTTTTTTTGTTTCATTTTTTTATTATGTATAGAGAAAATATTACGCATTAATATAGAGTTTGTTATATGAACTTTTATTATTATATATAATGGCTAAATTCCGTGTTTTTCTGTATCATCCATTTTAGATGTGTAATTATAATAATTTCAATATTGATATAAATATTTTTGTTAAAGAAGGACACACATGAAGATGTAGCATCATGCAAAACATATAACATAATTAACTTAATTTTTGGTGTGGTTTTCTGAACAATATATGAAAAAGCATCATCAGAAACCAACAACAGCCATGGCAATAACTCTTTAAATGATAAAAAACATTATTTGAATGATTTGACAAATACCCAATTTAGATATTAATAATAATAATAATAATAATACTAATAATGATAATAATAATAATAATTCAAACAATTTTGATTTACTTTTAATTTAACAGTTTACATAGAACACACATAAGTTACAATGAAGTTGATGCAAACAATGGCTATTCATTGATCTGCAAGATATGTTTTTATATTAATTTTTATAAAGATTTCAGAGGATTCATCGGACAATATTGTATTAAATGATATTGAATTCAAAACCCTTTGCACCATAGTAACAAAATTCTTTTTTTTATCATAGCTTATGCTTTAGTACAGCTATCATAACGTAAAGCAGATCTTAAAAATGCATGGAAAAAAATCAAATTAATTAGAAGAATTTAATTTAAGCTGTTGCAAGTTTTATATTCAAAGTACAAGTATACAAATGATATCATTTAGTGCATGACGTCTACCAAAGTTTTCTAAATATATTTTGCGCATATAACTTTTGTCGCAAAAGTTGAGATGAACGAAATAAACGTTTCTCATCCATGACTGTAACGAATTAACTCGTTAAGTCAGTTTAGTCTACCTCGTGACTAATAAGTAAAACTGAGGGAATTTCCATTTTCTCTATAAACATATTTTGATTTGCTGTTCTATACCAATGATTTATCTTCATTACACTTCCTTGTGAACTTGTCTAGCTTCTATTTTTAAATTTTGGAGATATCAAGATGAGTACAGACCACAATTTTGTAAGGGCAAACTATACAGTATTATGATGTACAATTAACATATACATATGTGGCTTTCATGCGCTAGTGATTTAGGTCGCTTACTTAAATTTACTTGCTCCATATCATCTTATACTGTGTCGGTGTGATGTAAAATGCAATAAAAACATTGAACATCAATTTGTCAAGAAAAAAAAAAACAAAACAAAAAAAAACAGCAGTAAATACGCTTTACAAATTCAGTTCCATACACGAACAAATAAAAGGAGTAACTATCGTTCATATGATTTACATGTGTAATCAAAGTCAAGAAAAAAGAAAGCATTGTTAATGTATTTCGCAAGAGTTCATAATTAGGAAATAGTTATCAATTTTGAGTTTGTAATTGTAGATTAATGCACGGTTAGGGTTCAAATGCGTAGGAATATAATTACGAAGACCGACACTGGTATAAATCTATGTTTTGACAAAAGTTCAATGTCGCTCAATTTTCCCTATGTTTTACTAGAAATACTGCATAGTTCAAAAGCTACATGTAGAATATACAATGGGAGTCTTAGATAATTACTTTTGCTTAAAAGGCAAACATCTTAATACTATTCAAATCAATATCCGTTTTACATGTTAATGTTTAATGCATTACTTATACATTACAAATGCTTAACACTCCAGAATTCGTTGGAACCAATTTTGTTTCATATAATATAAGCTACACATTGAAAATGATTCAATTTATCTAAATCAACGCAGAATGTGTTTTGACAAAGAGATAATGAAATGATAGTCAAAAAGCAAATAAAAGTGTTTTATTAGTTGATGTGCCTAGTAACTTTTATAAACCAAGTTTCTGGTTATAAGATTTGCGAATTGCAGATGTACGATCAGGCGGGCGTTAAACAAGTGGTTACCGATCGATAAATAAAGTTAAGAATGGGATATTTTAATACAACTTGGTATAGCTTATGAGAAGATCATATTTTGGGATAACTGTTTGGGCCTCCTAGTACCAAAGTTAGGGTCAATATTACTTAAATCAGACAATGTTTTCCGATCAATGATTAGAGTTAGGAATGGGATATTGTAATACAACTTGGTATAGCTTATGTGAATATCTTGCTTAGGATTGCTGTTTGGGACCCTAGGGGGCCAAGGTTAAGGTCAATACCACTAAAATCAGATTATGGTTTCCAATTAATGGAATGGAATATTGTAATCAATCTTTGTAAAAATTATTGTAATATTTTGTAATTACAACGCTTGAGATTACTGGGCTCCTCAGGTCAAGGTCACAATAAGGTCACAAATTAAAAATTGGTTTACGATGAGTAGAGTTAGGAAATATTTTGTGATAAAACTTGGTATATAGACAGCTGGTATGTAGACCTTGCTAAGGATTGCTTTCGGATCAAGGAATGTAATAGAATAATGAAAAATAAAAAAAATGTTTCCGATCAATGATTTGCGGACGAAATGAGAAATTATAATCAAACTGGGTCATAAAGTTTATATAAAGACCTGGCTTATGATTGCTTTTGACCTCTCGGGTCTAGATCACTGTTCTTGAAATATTCTTTCCGGCCGATAAATTGTATACTTAACCTAGCTTAGAAGTACTTTTGCATTTCCGGTCATAAGCAATTGCTAGGAAAAGACAATGTACATTTCGCAACTTATATAGTATGAATACACAGAACGGATGAACGGTATTTTGGTCTAACCTACGCTAAGAAACTAAACATTTAACAAATAGTAATTTAATGCTGGGAGTTGTTGACAAGTTTATTTCCAATATATGTAGTAAAAGTCCATCTAAAAAGCGAATTCATAGATAAAAAAGAAAACAATGCATTATTTATATATTTATTATTATGGCTGTAGAAACCGAAAGTACAAAAAAGCAACCTGTTTGACATTTTAGTCGGATTTGTTTAAAAATTGTAACATCAGTAGGCATATTTAAATTACACTGTTGTTGCCAGAACAATATTTTCAATCATAAGAGTACCGAAAGTTCACGTTTTAAAATTTCAATAATTTTAGGGTTTAAAAGGTTTCAAGTACAAGCGTTCTAAAATAAAATTGCCATTTTTTAAAGAGACTAATTATTATGGTTTTTCCCCGGAGATTTTAAAGGGGGTTATTGGGGGGAGGGTGGGGGTAAAATTTCCTTCAAAAAATGGCCCAATTCCCCTCCCACCCGGGGTTTTTGGGGGCAAAATTGTAAAATTTGGGTTCAGCTACGGCCCCGGAAAGTCGAACCTTATAAAAATTAGTTTTAAGGTTACAAAAGCTGACTGGTTTTTTCTTTCTTTTTTTTCTTTTCTCCCTGGTATAATCTTTTTAAAAATTTTTTTCCCACTAATCGAAAAAAGTCTAAAAAAAACCCAAAAATTACCCCAATGTTACCCTTTAAAAGGGAAAGGGTTTACATTAAACAAAAAAATTTTTCGGCCAAAAGTGATCCATTTTTTAATTAAACCCTTTAAATAATCACTGACTAAAACAGGGAATGAGGCATTCTCTAATTTTTTAAAATTATTAAAAACCCAAAATTTTTTTTGGTTTTAAATTTTTTCTGCAAAACCCTTGAGCCCCTTTTTCTTTTAAAAAAATTGAATTAAAAAAAGCTGATGATTTGAAACAAAATCCCCCTTTTTCGTGTTAAACTAACGGGGAGCCAGGGTGGGGCCAAGGATCTCCCCCCGATTTGTGTTTAAAAATACTAAATCTGAAGGAATATTTTAAAAACATTTCCCTCTGTTAAAAATAAAAATTTTAACCCTTGTTTATTTTTTGGCAAAAGTTGTCCGTTTTACCCGATTTTGGGCCTTTTTGGGGAACTTTTTTTTTAATGAAAATAGTTCTGTGTTTAGAACAGTTTTTTTACTAAAAAAATATGTTATTTTACATTTTTTAAAGAAAGTGCATACCCAAATTCAAAAAAATTTCCCAATTATAAAAATTTTGAATGAAAATTTTAAATTTTTTAACAAAAATTCTTTAAAATTTTTTTTTATTTCAAAATAAAAGGAAAAGCTATTGCGTACATTATAATATATATGGGAAATTTTTAAACTTACATAAGAAAACCCTGCTAAAATTATTTAAAAAGGGAACAAAACCTGCCCGGGGAACGCTTAACATGTTTCCCGTAAAATATATTAAAATTTTTCCCCAAAAAATATAAACGAAAATAAAGTTTTGTCTCTTTTAAGGGGGCTTTTATTTTTGGGGGCATTTTCAAATTTTAAAAAAAGGTTTTCCGGTGAATCCAATTTTGGGGCCCGGGACGGTTTTTGGGACATCCCGGAATCTTTCAACCCCTCCTAAACAGGCCGAAATGTTTCCATATTACTTTTTAAATAAACTGCCCAGTATTTTAAGGACTTTTTTTCTTTAATTTTTGGGTTAACCTAACCTCAGTTGCAAAAAGAAAAGTTTTGGGGCCAACTTGGGTTACTTTGGGGGATTTATATACACATACTTTTGGAAATATAGTAAAAATCAAAAGTACAAAAAAAAGCGAAAAATTTTTCCTCAAAAGAAAAAAAAAAAAAAAAAGAAAAACGGTTTTTAAAAATTTGTATTTAAAAATTTAAAAAATTTTATTCGGGGAAATATTGGGTTGGTTTTTTTAAAAATTGGTGGGAAAGGGGTTTGGAAAAGTTAAAATTGCCAAAATTGTATTAAATTTTTTAATCCTTTTTGTCTGGGGGCCCCTTTTAACGGGGTTTCTTTAAATTCGGCTATTTTTGTTTGGCGTTGATCTTTTTTTATGGACCCAACTATACTATTCGAGACGCATTGACTTGACGTATCAGCATGTGGACTTGTATTTGAATGATGTTCTATTAAGAAATAGACAAAAAACAGCATTTACAAAAGGCAGAGTTCTGCAGCTTTTATTTTTACCCCTCAACTGTTTATAATTACACTTAACAAGAGTTTTGATAACAATGAAATTTCAATTATATGTACACCGTCGTGAAGTCACTACAATTCT